AGAACACATTATTTAAATCACAGAATTACAAAATACATTGATCCCTGTGTGAGGGCCACACGCCAGCTACCAAACGGGTCATGAGCTCTAGTTTTGAGACTACCCTTCATGCATGGCACCACGCACTGGTTAGAAAGTACAGATACCAAGATAGGGGGGATGAGAATCCTTCTTTTGGGTTTTGTCAGTCTAAGAAGCAACTTTCCTTTGAGAATGTTAAAATGATGAAATGGTGGTATTAATCAGAAAGGAAAGCTATTAATTGGAAGAAAATAAGATAACAGTGCTACTTGGTAGAAAGGCAACATGTGAAAGCAATGATTTCAAGGAAACACGAGAGGAAAGGGAAAATACAGAAAATTTACATTTTTGCAAAGACCAACATGAACCAGGTGTCTAAGCTGGGACTCAGGGCATCCACCTGAGGCTGCACTGCCCCAGCCCCACAGCTCAGGCCTGGTCCTCTGCATGAGACACTGTATTAAACACACACACACACACACACACACACACAAGGAAAGCAAACCATGGGTACTTGCAGGGCCACGGACACATCCACCTATCAAATTCAGCTTGGACCCCAAACTCAACAACGGTTTTGGGATGCTGTTGACACGTTACCACTCCGTTGAACTTGGTCAGTTTGCGGGGGGTGTGACGGCGAGGTCTGTGCTTACTCACCTGTCCTACTCCCTGGCATGGCCTGGGGGATCCAAGGTGGGGACAGTGCCCCCTGCTGGGCTGGTGCAGGTCCCCAACCCCGCTGCAGAGCTGACCGCCTGACTGTGCCAGATGAACACAGACATCATCATGGCTCTTACACACCAAAATGAGAATTAGCTTAAAACTAATCTCTTCCCATTTGCTCTCTCTCTTTTTTGTGGGTGTCTGCTTTGAGAGGAGAGGAGGGAGGGAGAAGCTGGAGTGTGTTGTACACTTCATTTTAAAGCAAAATCTATCTTTAGTAGAAAGAACGACTTTAAATCTATAATTAATGGGCTTTGTTTAATCAGAATTTATAGAAACCAATCTTTTTTCTGATGTGCCATTCTCAAACAAGGAAGTAAATCACGGAGAAAACAAGTTACGTCAAGAGTTTATTTGGAAAGAAAGGACACACTTCAATGTGCTGCTGTGGAGGCAGCATTATCTACCTAATATTTACATATGTTTTTATACACAGGCCTGTGCAATGATATTTAATGTTTCTATTATGATCCAAAACAAGAAAGAAAAATAATTAATAATTTCTGTCCACATTACTGCAGTTTTTGATAAAATAAAATGAATGTTTACTGCATTCTGGAAAGATTGTCAATAAAACTCAAAAGGAAAAGAGTCCAATTAGCCAGAAGTTTAAGCTAAACTTCTTTCTGCCGTATGTTCCCAAGGTTTTCCTCTACTTTTAACATTTTAGAAAACAGCCAGAAGGAAGACCAGCAGACAACACTGATTTTTAAGGGAGTTTGGAAGAAACTGATCATTATGTTAATAAAATGGATTTAATCCCTCAGTCTACTCTTTTTTTTTTTTTTCCTTTTTGTCTTTTTTCATGTCCGGCAACGGATCGCAACCC